GGTGGGGCTGAGAGAACTCTGACACAAACTGCTCTTTCAGGAACAGCTGTGCCAGAGCTTGTAACTGACCCAAGGTCACATCAGCAGGTGCAAGTGGAGGAGTGGGGAATCAAACCCGGTTCTCCCAGATTAGAGTCCGCACGCTTAACCACTACACCAAACTGGTGTATATCTCTGCTACTTGGCATTACATTTTATGACACATATGGCCCGGCCCAATTTATGTCAAATCCGGCCTGCATAACAAATGAGTTCAACACCCCTGCTTTTAAGCCTACTGAATTAATGGGCTTAGAAGAGTATGACTCTTTAGGGCTGCAGTGTTGATTTACTATAAAACATGTAGGCTATGGTTAAGGAATGCTTGTATTTGTAACTTTGAGAAGAGATGACAGATGTTTCTTGCTAACAAAAGGAATCTTACCTAAGACCCCTTTTGTCACAAATATTTTACCATTGTTTACTGCCTTAATATATTTTTGGCTTCTAGCCTCAAAACCTAATAAACAACAATGTCCAAACAGTTTGTAAAAATGAATGGTGGGGTTCTTTTAGTGTTCCTGCTGGTGTGTGTGCAAGCAAAGCAAAAACATCTGTAGTCTTCAAAAATTGATCATTAAAAGAGAAATGAGATTTATTCACCAGTTTTGAATAGCTTTTTTATTTTTGTTTAAAATCTTCTGATAAGCATGAGGTAAGAAACTGCCCAAGATACTTTCTTTTCCTTAATCCTTTCTGTCTTTTTACAGGCCAGATACTCTTTTGTCTTCATTGATTGGAGAAAACTTTTAGTATAGATACTTCTGAAGTAAACAAGTATGTTTGTTTCAATTACAGACTTCAAAAAACTGCATGAGGCCCAATTCAAGAAAATGCAATCTATTGATGATTACATTGAAAGAAAAACAAAGATGATTAAAAAATTCAGTAATTCAGTAAACGAGGTCAAGGTAAGTACTGAAACTTTTCCTGAAACTGTTAAATTCCATTCCATTCCAATTAATTCCAATTGTGATATGGGTACCAGGATGGAATCTGAATAATGAATAATCCTGAAACATCATTAGCTTTCCTTGCTCTTGAAAACCGTCCCACCAACAATATACAAGTCCTTTCCCCTGGGCATGCAAAACAGCTTGACAGTACAGTTAACTCAGCAAATAATTTCTTCAGTTCTTTCTTCCAGTTGTCCTTAATTTCCCCCCACTCCCATTTCCCTAAGCCCAGTGCTTCCTTGCCTTTTTTAAGGCTTTCTTTAATCATTGTAGGGGCTGGAATGAATTCCTCCCTATAAATCTGCTGAAAAGTGATCTCTGCAAATCTTGAAGTCTTTTGGTACTTGAGTCCTCACGAAGTGATGAAAGCCTACTCAACTGGTCAAGAACCATCACAGTGCATTGCATTTTGTCAGCAAAATGAGAATATTGGCTTTGAAACTTGACACACACACACCCCGATCTTGGAAAGCCTTATTTCAGTCCAGCCCTAAGACATGCTTCAGCTCTTTTCCAGTTCACAGGTCTTGTCGTTAGTAGCAGCATTGCTAATAGCTACAGACCAACCACAGGCACTTACGTTTGTGATAGATTTGGGGGTGGGTCTGAATTCTTATGAAATTAGGGAAAATAAATTACTAGTTGGTAGCAAATTTATATACTCTGTGCATAATTAAATACCTTGTTTGTCTTTATGGGTCAGAACAGCATCTACAAAGCCTGATATTTTATTATAGGCACTTGTTATACAAATGCTATGCAGTTCATTTTCCAATTTTGACAGATGCTGGCTAAGAAAAGTAACTATCTAAAGACTTCTCACAAAGACACTCCAAACAGTAATTCCAAGGTGAGGCTTTACCAGTACAGATTTTCAATTAAAATGTTACTTTAAAACAGATGTAGTTGGATCCTATGAGTCCATTCTGCTAATAGCTAAGCATCCTGTCAGTAGGAGAGGCATGCTTCGCTAGCACAAAACACCTTGTGTAAAACAAGGCTCTGCCATTAGCAGAATGGACTCATGGGGTGGGGTGGCTTTGTAAGCTATCATTCCATATAAGAAAGGCCAAACTTTAACATTGTTATCCACCCCCCCACATCTTGCAGACATGCTCCAGTTTCAGAGAGTTTTTATTCAGCCCTCAACCCCATGGGAACAATCGAGTGGCTACATGTACCCCTGCAAGCCTGCGGCGCTCACCACACAGTTCTGTCAGCAATGGAAATAAGAGTATTTTAACTCGGAAATCAGCATTCAATTCAACCAGTCTCTCTGCAGTCAAAATGAATGTCAGGTAAACAGCATCCTTAAAGGTATCAATTAATAAAATTTATGAGAATAATTGGAATGTGATACTCTGAGGACCGGTTTTCTCACAAGGTTACATAACACTGTAGAGTAACAACTACAAAATGTTTAACATTTCTTTGGGACATCATTGGATTCTATTGCATGTACTGCTAAACATGTAATGGACTTGGTTTTAGGGCAGTGGGCAACTGTTCAGGTGAAATGACTTCAAGAAACAGCTGGGACTGAGCTGTTATGCTCATCTGAAGTATTTTCTTCAGATTTTCAGAAGCCACCAAGGATAATGAACACAAGCGCTCTCTTATCAAGACTCCATCTAGAAAATCTCAATTCCTGAACACCGGCACCCCAGATAGCCAGAAGAGCAGTACGTCTGTTTCTAGAAAGGACTTCAGGGGAAGCGCAACAAAATGTCAGTTAACAGAAGGCTCAAACTCTGGTAAATAAAAATGAACTTGCAAATAAACTGGACTGTTAATTTCTTTCTGCAGTTAGAAGGGATTCTTGTAAAACAAAATATTGCTGCAGGATGTAGCATTACACAAAGCTAGACTAGATTTCCTGCCTTTTCTGTTGTTAAGCCTTTGAAAAGGACTTTATGCTGGGCAGATAGAAAAGATTTTAGCATGAAATTGTAATAACTTTGCCTTCAGCTATGCAGCCAAGTATATACTTAAAAGACTGCCTTTGCTGATAAAGACAGCATGAAGGCTTAGACTGGGGTCCATCTTTCTCTCTTCCTGTGTTGCTTAGTGTCTTTAGGGAACTAAAGCTGTTGTGCCTCCAGTCTACCACTCCTTGTAAAAAACCCATGGCAATGGGAAATAACTGATTGAAACACCTGTGTATTAGAAGTACACTACCTCCTAGCTTTCTCTCTGAAATACAATTTTGTAATGTAAAATTTCTAATTCCCCGCAAATAAAGTGACTAGGGAAATGCAACCCTGTTTCAAGTCAAGGAAGATCAACTAGATTATCCTTTAAGCATTTGCTTTGAGAAGTTTAATGAAAACCTTTTGTTACAACTAGAGTCCATATTAAGTGTCTTATAAATTGAATGTACTGGAAGAACAAGAGCCTACAAGAAGAAAACAGAATTTAGATTTGTGGGTTTATTGTGAAGCTCATTGCTTACTGACATTTAAGTGCACTGCCTTTTTCCTCTCCTCCCCCCAGCTGTTACCCTCAAGTTTGAAGCAGAACCCATAAGCACTAAGAAGCCAACGTTTGACCTCAAAGCTAGTCTGTCAAAGCCACTTGGTTACCAGCCTCACAAAGGTACCTTTTGTAGAAACGGTCCCTCTAGAAGATGTTTTAGACAAGGCAGTAGCCATCAAGTCAACATTTTGATTTTGCTCAGATGGTGCACAAAATAGAGCTGAAAAGTTGGGGTATGTGTATCTCCTAAGGTGTCTAAACTTTCAAAGCATTTCATGGACTATGCTGCAAGTGTATGTTCTCGTGTCCCATATTTTTGAAATTCAATTTAACTTGTCTTGGCTAATAAAGTATTGTTCGGTTTGGATTCCAGCCATACTGAAGCAAATAAAGGCTATGCTAACTGCTTTTGAGTTGATCTTCCTGATTGTACAGCCATAGCATTGGACAGTCTAGTCATCCAGGCAGAGCAAAAGGCCCTACTTTCTTGGCTTTGCTCAACTAGAAACTTCTCACCTGCTGCACTACCACAGAAGGAATAAGACATGCCTTTCTGTTCAGTTCTCTGGCAGCTGTAAATAGTCAGCAGTTAAGTCTTCTCAATGTTTTGTGAGTTTCTTTGTTAGAATGACTTGTCTCGTTCCTCTTACTGTATTACTATTTTGTTGTTCATATATGTATCTTGTACTTCTCACACAAGAAACACAGTTAACTATGAGAGAGTTCATTTCCAGTGGGCATGAATTTTGCCTTCTGTAATAACACTCTGATTCTGAACTTACTTTAACTAGAGAACAAAGTCTTGAGTCCAGTGGCACCTTTAAGACCAATGAAGTTTAATTCTGGGTATACGCTTTTGTGTGCATGCCCACCTGAATCTTACTTTACCTAGATTCAAGTCCAGTAGCACCTTACAGACCAACAAGATTTTTGGGGTATAAGCATTTGAGCTTGTAATCCCAAAATCTTGTTGACCTCTAAGGTGATACTGGACTTGAATCCAGCTGTTCTATTGCAGACCAGCACAGCTGCCCTCAGAACTTTCTTTAGATGCTCGTTTTAAGAGAAGCACCATCAGTTTATAGATGGTATTTTGCATTGCTACAGTCCTTTACAGAATCTTTACATGTAAATCAGTATTGATAGAGTAAAATTGGGACATACCATTTGCTTCTGAATTAGCTCAGGGAATTTATGCAGTTTCCTCAAAACTACACTGGCTAAATCTGGTTATGCTTTCCTTCTCTGTAAACAGGGAAACTGAAACCTTGGGGTAAATCAAAGGAAAACATCCAGAGTGTGTGTTCCCACAGGAGAGACTATAGGCAGCCAGTTCCCACAACCCGGTGAGTATAATTTGTCAAATTCAATTCCACTATATACTACTGTCAAGAGTGATCGTTCTTACTGTATACCCTTTCTAAATGATAATGCAGCCACTCAATGGCATTGAAGCTCCCTTATGAAACAGAAAATAGTATGTTGCTCAGATTCTATCCTACTCTAACCAGTATTCTAAAGTAGAAACTGAAACTCTACCTGATATATGGGCTGCCTTCTGGGCTCTGTAATATACTCCATATCAACTGCTGATGAACTTTTTCATGACACAAAAATCGCTAATCTGGTATGCAGTGAATGAGATTTCTACAGTAAAATCCTAAATACCCAATGTGGTTTTTATATCTGATTATCATAAAATATGAAGTCAGGAAGGCTGGTGGAGAACTAAAGGAAAAAAGATAGAGAATCTGTTTTCTTCTACCATACAAGAGCCTAGTGTCTATAGTTGGTCTGAAAAGAAAAAAGGAATATCTGCCCAGTCCTTCTACAGATTTTTTAGTGATGGGCCCAGAACCTGGAGTTTCACTTTGAACTCCCAAAGAATTCTGAAGGATTCCTTCAGACTTATGTCTCCAGTTGAACTATACAATTTAATTATAACTGGGAATGAATGAGAACTTACATTTTAATGAATGCAAAACTTTGCAATTTACAATACAGTGGAAAATTTACAAATCCAGGCATGCATCTTTGACTATGAGCAAGTGGCTGATCAAGTTGAGATGCGGCTTCATGCTGTAATCTCTAGCTTTTGTGGATTGAAAAGACACATATATTGCTCATCCGTCAGAAATAGGAGAGCCTTTTGTCAAAACTATCAGTTCCCCACTTTGGATCTGGAAGGATTACAACACAAGAACATTTCAGTCTGTTTTTGTCCAGTTCTGTTAATACTCTTGCACTGACCTGATACTTTTTACTTCCAGAGAAGAGAGGCGAGAACAACATGAAGAAGAGAGAAAACTGAGAAAAGACAAGGCACTTGGAATCCGTAGAGGATTGACTCTTGCTTAGGACTAACCCTCAAATTGCTCTGTAAATAACATTCTACATGCAAAATTATTTCCTACTTTGTAAATATTTCTGTTTTCTTCCCTATTCAGTGACTTGCTTAAGATGGTCTGTTGTCTGAACAGAATTAGTCTAATGGGCTTTTTAATTCAGTTATTTTAGCTACTGACTCATAATCTTGAAAGGCTGTAACCAACAAAAGTGCAACTATTTACTGTTATCCTACGTTATGTTTTTGAAATGTTTATCAATCTATTCTAGACTGGTTGGAAACGAACAATTTTCTGCCAAATGTTTTTTTTACTGTATTTGATGGTGGGGACAAAATAGAAAATAAATGTTTAGTAATGAAAATACTATAGTTATTGATGGCATTTATGTTTTGAACTAAGGCCATGGTGGCTCAGAGGTTAAGATGCTGAGTTGCAGTTTGAGACTCGAGTGCCGTGTGAGCTCCCATCTCTGGCCCCAGCTCCTGCCAGCCGAGCAGTTCAAAAGCAAGAAATTGCAAGTAGATAAAATAGGTACCGCTTTAGTGGGAAGGTAACAGCGTTCCGTTTGCCTCGGAGTTTAGTCACGCCGGCCACATGACCACGGAGAAGTCTTTGGACAACACTGGCTCTTCGGCTTGGTGTCAGCCAGTGTTCCCTCTAAGCTGAGTTAGTGTGAGCTAGCTCACAGTTTTTTATCCTCTGGCTCACATGTTTTTGTCTTAGCTCAGGAAGGATGCTTCCAGAGCACACTAATTTATGCATTAGACAAATCACTTGCTCACAGCTTTAATGCCAATAGCTCACAAAGTAGAACTTTTGCTCACAAGGCTCCACAGCTTAGAGGGAACACTGGTGTCAGCTATGCTGCCATGATGTTTATGGGCTGGGGTTCATTTGCTGGACCTGTGTACCAGCCGCTGCTGCATTCCTTCTTTGCTTCTGTAGTACTGTATTATCAATGACCTTGGAGATTGTAGTGTCTGGGCATCATGTAACCTCATTAACCAATCGTTAGTAATGGGGTTGGAAGCGGGGGTGGTGAAGCTGCAAGACCCCTTGATTTTCACTCAAATGGATGGATCAACCATGAAAGAACCTTGTGAGTTCAGTGGGAGGGCTTCTAATGTCCTGGCCCCACTGCTGGACCTCCTGATGGCACTAGTATTTCTGGCCACTGTGTGACACAGAGTGTTGGACTGGATGGGCCTTTGGCCTGATCCAACATTGGCGTCTCTTATGTTCTTATGAGTTTGAGACTCTCCCATTGCGGGACGGGGCAGGGGATCACTAGGAAGAAAGGTAGTTGGTGATCACCCCGGCCACCCGGTTCCCGCTCGTGTTAGGGGGGCCCTGGCTGCACGGACATGACTCATATATCCTGTGGGACGAAGGAAAGGTGCAATTCATCTCTCCCCGGTGTCACTTGCATCGGTGGAACCCACAGTGGGGTCTGCAGCTGATAGTAGAAAACCCTAGGGTTTGTTTAGCCAAAGACTAACTGCAATCCATACCCCCTGGCCAGGGTTTTCGAAGAGGAAGCAGACGAGCTTCCACTCCATAGACACTTGGATTGCAGCAGTGAAATATTGCCAGGCCACAAACTACCCAAGAGGTGCATTTATGCAATGGGTCCGGCTGAGAAAGATGAATTATGTAAGTTTATCGACAAGAACCTAGCCAGGGGTTTCATCCGACTGGCCTTCTCCCCGTTTGCAACCCCGGTTCTTTTCAGGAAAAAAAGGATGGGGGCTTGAGGTTGTGTACTGACTATAGGGGTTTAAATGCGGTGTCATCGACCAACGCCTACCCCATGCTGCTGATTAAAGATTTGTTAGCCGAAGCGGCTAAAGGAAAGATCTTTTTGAAGTTGGATCTCCGGGATGCCTACTTTTGGGTACGCATACGGGAGGGGGATGAGCACAAGACTGCCTTTAACATGCCCCTGGGCCAGTTTGAATACTGCGTAATGCCCTTCGGTCTTCAGGGGGCTCCGGGGGTCTTCATGAACCTGATCAACGAGGTGTTGCATAAGCATTTGTTTAAGGGGGCTCTTGTTTACCTGGATATCTTGCTGTACTCCCCCGTTCTGCCTTCACACGTGAAATTGGTGAGGTTCTAACCACATTGTACAAGCACAAACTGCGAAACTCTCCAAGTGTGAGTTTCACAAGACACACATTGATTTCCTGGGATATCCAATATCCGACAAGGGGCTGGAAATGGACCCGGGGAAGGTGTACTGGGGTGGGAAACCCCCCGCACCCGCCGCCAATTACAATCCTTCCTAGGGTTTTCGAACTTTTACAGAAATTTTCTGCCCAACTTTGCCCAGATCAGTTTGCCTCTCACTGACTTATTAAAAACAAAAGAGAAAGGGCCAGAGGCAACCAAACCAGGGGCAACCCAGGCCTGGAGTAAAGAGTGCCAGGAAGCGTTCGAACACCTCAAAGCCTTGTTCATGTCAGAGCCCATCCTCGCCCACCCCGATGAAAATAAAAAAACTTATCGTTCAAGTTGACGCGTCAGACGTGGCCATGGGGGGTGCAATCCTCCAAGAGGGAGAGGATGGATTACTACACCCCTTAGTCTACGTGTCGAGGAAGTTCAATGACACGGAGCGTAACTGGGCGGGGAGAAAGAGGTGGGGGCAATCCACCTCGTACTGGCTACATGACTGCATTGGCTGGAGGGAGCGTGAGTTCCGTTTGAGATGTGGACTGATCACAAGAACTTGGAAATGCTAAAAACACCTCGAAGCCTCAATGCTAAACAGTTCAGGTGGGCCGATTTCTTTTCCAAGTTTCAGTTTACGCTTCACCATTTCCCCAGTTCAGCAAACTCCCTCGCTGACGCCCTGTCCCGCCTCCCACAACACGACAGCCAACGGGAGGTCATCTTGGACTCTATGTTCACGTCCTCCCACCTGTGACTACATGTAGCCAGACAGGCCCATCCTCAACCCCTACGTCACCGGCACCATGACCCCACCGCCGGCTGAGGCGAGTGGGAAAATATGGCACAGTAAATTCGCCTCTGCCTTCTCAGTGGGCGACAGGGCGTTAGTGGAGGCTGAAGGGGATTTTGAACTCAGGTCTGATGGCTGCTGGTACCGCAGAAACAAACTGTTTGTTCCACTCTCCCTGTGGGGGGAAGTACTGCACGCAGTGCACAGCTCGAAGCTGAATGGCCACCTCGGGTTTGTTAAGTCCCTTCAGCTCATGCAATGACAATTCTGGTGGCCGCAAATGCAGAAGGATCTATCTTCATTTGTAAAATCATGCCAGATTTATGCCATGAGTAAACCCCGGCCGGGGAAAACTCCTGGATTGCTGCAACCACACCCGACTCCGAATCGGCCATGGGAGGTGATTTCCATGGACTTTTTTATGAACCTGCCCCCAAGCAAAACGATGTTGGTCATTTGGATTGTTGTGGATTTATTCTCCAAACAGGCACACTTTATCCCGTTTACGTCCCTGCCCACGGTGAAAGCCCCTGCCAAAGCGTTTTTACTGCACATCGTCCGTTTGCATATGCTACCGGCCAGGATGATATCCGATAGGGGGACCCAATTCGTTTCCCGGTTCTGGGGGGAGCTTATGAAACTGATAGGGGGTCGAACAAGCCATGAGCAGCGCCTATCACCCAGAGACTGATGGACAGACGGAACTGGTTAACCAGACATTGGAACAATATCTCCGCTGTTTCACCAATTATCGACAAGATGATTGGGTTGATCTCCTGCTCCTGACCGAGTTCTGTTATAATAACATGTGTCATTCCTCGACTGGACTGTCCCCTTTTAAGGCGTTGTATGGATATGATAGCCCCTTGGTACCTTTTTTGGAGGGGACCACTGACTTGGGGCCAGGGGATGCGGCTCAATGGTGTCAACAATTACAGGACTCGTGGCCGCTCATTTGCAAGACTTTAACAGCAGCCAAGGAGGCTTATAAGGCTCAGGCTGACAAGAGAACGGTGGAGGGTTGGGCTCTGCAGCCTGGAGATTCAGTGTATGTGTCTACTAAGAACATCAAAGTCCTACGGCCTAGTCGGAAACTAGGGTGGAAGTACATTGGTCCGTTTAAGGTGAAACGGATGATCAATGATGTGGCGGTTGATCTTGATCTCCCTAAGAACCTGAGAAATCTTCATTCTGTATTTCATTTCAGCCTCCTGAAACGGGATGCTGGTTCAAGCACCTGGCGACCGTCGCAACCAGTGCCCCCTCCTATCATGATCGAGGGCAAGGAACATTATGAAATTTCTAAGATATTGGACTCTAAACGCAAACGGGAGAAATGGAATGGCTTGGTTTTGGACCCCAGCACCTTGAATGGGTGGAAGTAGGGGATATTCGGCCCCCTAGACTGTTGCGCAAGTTCCATCGGGACTTCCCAGACAAACCGGGTGGTTTCCCGGAATGGGCGGGAGAAGTTTTGAGAGGGCAGAATGTAAGCTATGCTGCCATGATGTTTATGGACTCGGGTTCATTTGCTTGACCTGTGTACCAGCCGCTGCTGCATTCCTTCTTTGCTTCTGTAGTACTGTATTATCAATGACCTTGGAGATTGTAGTGTCTGGGCATCATGTAACCGTGGGGTCGCTTTCGATTCCTAGCTTCGGCTCTAACGGCCTGGGGCCCCTTCTCCCACACGCAGGAGTCAGGCCAATTGGCCTATGGATGGGGGAGTGCATACGAATACCCTATATCCCATTGTGCTTGTAGAAACGTCACCATTCCTAACAGTGACCATGTTACTGCATCTATAGCTCTGCAATAAAGTATAACCTTTCTGGCAAGAGTGTACTCAGTTGTTGGCTGTGGAACCTGACACTTGGAAACTGAGATGAGCACCACCCCCTAGAGTCGCATTCAACTAGCTTTTGAGCAAGGGAAACCTTTATGTTTTGAATACAAACTACTACATAGCTCTTGCCAAACGTGGCTTTCCATAAACTGTTCTGTGCAACACAGCCACTAGGAAGTCAGTAAACCACTGGTTGTTGTTCAGTCGCACAGTCGAGTCCGACTCTTTGCGACCCCATGGACCAGATCACGCCAGGCCTTCCTGTCTTCCGCCGTCCTCTGAAGTTTGCTGGAGTGATCTTTAAAGAAAGAGTTACATTCTAAAGCTTTCAGATAAAGGAAGGTATTTATTTGACACAGCATGAGTCTCTGCTTACAACAGAGACAGATAAAGCAGATGTACTCAGTAAGCTAATAATAAAGGGGCCTAAAACTAACTCAATCATTAGTTTCATGTCTTACACTGGGCTAACTCTGTTGTGGTGATCCTAAATCATTTTTAAAAACTGAATTTTCCTGATGACTGCTTTTGCTCACACTAATCTATTTTGTCAGGTTAGATTTCTGGATACAGACCCCAGTGTAGTACAGCAGTGCTAATATTCACTTCCTGCAGAAGGGATGCAAGCTTGAGTACTGTAGATGAATAGCCCCCCAGTCTTCTTCTTCTTAGGATTTTTTTCATATTGCTCATAGGCACATTCTTCTCTATGTGCTCTGTCTTTGGCCAATCCAATGTAGTCAATCTCCAGCTGGAATGGGCCATCTACTTGGTCACCTAAAGTGAATCCAAGAGTACTGATCTGTTTAAGACGACAAAAGATACAAAATTTTGTTTTTAATTAACACAGGATTTATTTTTTCCCAAAAGGTTTACAAATAATTGCAGCATCAATTTTGAATTCTTTATGAAACTCTAAATTAAGCAGCTTTAAACAGATATTGACTAAATAATAAGTTGGATCCAAAGTCCAGAAGGCATTTTTGCTCACAGAAGTAAATGTTATCATACGCATGCTGCAACTCTTGCACTGCAAACTGCTGGAGGGTACAAAGGACTGCTATGGGAAAGCCCTTCATCTTCTGACCAGAAATAATATTTTCATAAAGTAAGGCTGAAAACTTCCAGGCCTACCTCTAGTTTACTACTGTTATGCATTATCTAAACTTAACACGGTTAATACATTTCCCCCATGATTGCATTGCTGGGCATCTAGTGTATCCCCCCCCCAGCGATATTTCCAAGCTGAAAAGCAAAATAATGTTTTCTTGCCACAGTCCAGTTTTTAGACATTTGTGTTCTCTCTGAGCAAAAAGACTGCATTTACAATGACACAAGCCTCAGAAGCACATGTGGTGACAATGAATATAAAGGAGAAATTGTCAGACACCAGTATACAGTTTTATGACTTGCTGCAAAGTTTTAAAAACTGCAAAAACTAGCATACTTGATTTCTCACCATACCTAACAGTAATGAATAACTCTACTATACGGAATTTAAAAAAATTCATAGAGAGCTACTTTGGCTAAGGTATATGTTTTAGGGTTTTTCTAAAAAAAAATATTGGGGGTTAAGCTCTTCCACATCATCACCAGTGACATTTGCATGAAAGAAAACAGAAGTATGAGAACTTGCATGGGGGGGGGGAGTAGTAAGAGCAACAGCCAGAAGGCCAAAGGTAAGCCAAGAAAGAAAGCATGGTTAAATAAAGGTCAGCAGAAGGTAGAAGGGTAAGAGTGGGTGAAGAGACACCACACGGTCCGAGGGACATGGGTTAAGGCCAGCTGGTGAGAAAGTTGTAGGGTGAACAAAACAAGGTAGCCAAGCAAGGGACATGAAAAGGGGAGGGATAGGAATGAAATAGAGCTGGGTCCTGGATAGTGAAGGAAAAAAACTGAGGCAGAGAGGGAGGACTGAATGCCCCTACTCTGTTCACTCGCAGGTACTCTGGTTCAACAATCATGTACCAGGAGCTGCAATGGCTCATGTGGTTAAGACGCTGAACTGCAGGCTGTGGAAGGTCGGTAGTTCAGCAGTTCGAGACCCGAGTGTGCCGCATGATGGAGTGAGCTCCCGTCTCTAGTTCCAGCTCCTGCCAACCTAGCAGTTCGAAAGCAAGAAATTGCAAGTAGATAAATAGGTACCACTACGGTGGGAAGGTAACAGCATTCCGTGCGCCTTGGTGTTTAGTCATGCCGGCCACATGACCACGGAAATGTCTTCGGACAGTGCTGGCTCTTCGGCTTTGAAATGGAGATGAGCACCGCAACCCTAGAGTCGGATTCGACGAGTCAGATCGACTGGCTTTCGAGCAAGGGAACCTTTACCTTTACCTTTTTTACTAGGTAAATCTTAAAAAAACCCTTGTTAGACATGAGCATCTTACAATATAACAAAAATGATATTTGCCATACAAATGCTTCCAAAGATTTCTGATTTAATTCCGCTCTGAGGGCTACCCCAGAGATACAATTTGGCATGCCTGATATGCTATGAAGAAACTGTTAAAAGTTGGTCAACTGCTTCATCTACTGGATTAATCAAAACCCTAATAGCATATGATACCTCCGGTGCTAGTCTGGCTGACACTTTTATGTTGTGCTCTGCTTCAAGGAGTTTTATTCTCTAATTTCCAGTTTCTATTTGCTTGTTATTCCCCCCCATTCATTATAAGTCTATTTTAGATGCTCCTTTAATCCCCCCCCCCATTTTATTTGGACTGCCTTTGTGGGTGATTAATTTTGCCACTACCCTTGTCTTTAGCTTTGTTTATTTTATCTCTCTTCTTTTTTCCGTTTTCTGATTATCTTGAACTTTCAGAAAACCTAGAAGATTTATTAGGTTAAATTCTGACAACATTTTTTGTCCTCCCCCTCCTTATTTCCAGGTGACAGAGTGTTGGGTAGGGGGAGACGGCAGTTGCCTGTAGGTTTTATTTTAATTATTTCAGTTGAGCTTAGTTCAGGTTAGCTCACGCCTTTTATGCTGTTATTAGTTTGTATTTTATTATTTGTAGTCTGAAGGTGCTTTTTTCCCTAGCTAGAAAGTGGCTGACCTTGGCTTGTCCAGCTATTTCCTCATTCTTATCAATGTTGAGTTTGGTTGGTTTATTACCTAGGTTAGAAGGGCGGTGTTGTTCTCTTCCTTTTCACTTGTTAAAATGAAGAAAAGATGGGCACGACATATGAATGATGAACTTTTTACAAAAGATAAGCAAGGTTTATTAAAGACAACTTTAATAAACAAACTGCCCTCCCCGCCACTAAAAAATTGGTTTGAGGTTTTGGAGAATGATTCTGATGTAAATAAGGGACTTAATTTCAATCAGGATCCAGAAGATGTACCTTCTTTATTAAGTGTATGTTTGGAATCCCAAATCAAAAGGAAAACAGATGAATTTGATTTATTAGCCACTCAGACTATCCTTATAGCTGATCCTTTAAAACAAATAAATGAAAAATTGGAATTTATAACAGATTATTTATTGAAATCTTCCATAAAGAGGCAGTATGATCCAGCTCAAAATTTGGGAAAGAGCCCCTACTCCAAGGCAGTTAATAGAAAACATCCTGCAAAGAGGAAGCCCTTGCTGGGTAATACCCTCTCTCTGTTGGCTCCCAAAGGAAAGGATAGATTGCAATTAAATATATTTCAGATGATGATCACAATCTTTTCCTATCAAA